GCAGCACCACCACACAGCTGCTGGACGTTCACAAGACTCCAGTTCACCACAGAGGGAGGAATGCGGCTGCCAAGTCATTATCCCCCCACCCTTCTCATAGCCCCTCTCTCCAAAATGCTAATAGTATTTACAGGAGATGGAGAGGGAAGAGGCCGCGAGCAGCAGGTGCAGCTGCTGGATGCTGCACGGACACACCAGTGATCTGCAGAGGAACACAAGGCTCATTGTGGCTGTTTAAACACTCCGACTGAAGGAACAGAAAGATCTGATGGAAACATTTGTTCATTCAAGTGTCACATCATGTGGACTTCAGACACTTTCACAAATAAAAACCCAGCAAGCCTTAAAAATACATGATCACTTACCACTTTTAATGCCAGAATTATAGATGTAGTAAACAACTTTCAGCTAGGGCAACATCAAATTTTAGCATATTTGTGTAAACTTCACTGATGTATAACCATTTTGTCTTAACTGTGGCAGCCATCTTGAATTGGGCTGACTCCGAAGGTTAAACAGTTTTAGAGAGTTTCATTGAAATCACTTCAGTTGTTAATGGCAGGAATGTTTCTTAGTGATCAAACATATGTGCTGATTGGTCCTCACACTAAATTTTAGCTCAYTATCTGTGAAATTGATAAAGTARGGAGAWGTTTGTGTTTCATAGCTTGACATCAGTGGCCATGCATACACTGGTTTTAAATGAAGTTGTAGATGCTCATTATTTGCTGGGAGTTTCATTCTGTGGTTTATGAGATATTAAACCAACAGACACTGTTCAGTTTATGTTACAGACATCAATTAAAATAGACTTTTTATTTGTTTCTTTCTTTTTTTAAAGCTGGTACCTGTGGCAACCATCTTAAATCAAGATGTGAATGTACATATTTTTTCTCGAAGTTTCAATAAAATCTGCCCAGTGGTTCAGTAAATGTTTTGCTAATTTTACAGACACACAAACAACACACACAGTCTGCCTTCAGATCACATTTTAGCAGTGCGAGATAATGACAGTAAACCYTTTTTAAAGGAATAATAACAGAGTTGAATTAAATGGATTAGTTTGTTTGATTTGATGACATAAAGCAGTTATGAAGAGAGTTTGAAAATTTTGTGTTTTTTTTTTCGAGTTAACACTTAAATGTGAAGGGATGTGCAAAAACTATCTGTAAATTTCCCCTAATGGTTATAAAAACACACAGCAGCTGACACCAACGTTACTCAGAAACTAAATAATTTTCTCTTTATTTATGGGCCATATCGTTTCATATTGGTKTTAGGAATTATTCATTTTAAATTAGATTTTTTTAAAATAAAAAACCTATTTATATTCAATAACAAAAACTGGTTGCAAAGTTAGATCAAAGCTATTTTCTATAAAAGTGTGAATTTGAGCAGTGAGAGATGAATGACTGCTGACTTTACTGAAAAAACTGAAATAGAGTTTAAAGTATAAATGCCAGCAAAAACACTAAAGACTAATTAAAAGCTGATAGGAGAAAAAAAGCTAATAAAGAGCTCAGAGTTACAAACATTAGATAAAACCAAAATGAGCAGAAAAGAGAGAATTCATCTTTATTTGAATAAAGCACTTTATGCATCACATCAGACTAAAATGCTGCWCAGAATCAACATTCAAACATGGCTCATGCAAAACCAATTCAATCAAAAAACAGAGGAAAAATAAAAACAGGAAATAAAAGATGCCTGAAACCTAATTAAAATATATAAAAATTGGTACAAAAGGACAACACAACCCCACACAGTGTCAAAGGAAAACAAGTGGGATTTAAGAAGAGTTTTAAAGACAAACAGTGAAGAGGCCTGTCTGACATGGAGCTCGTTCCAAAGTCTGGGAGCAAAAGATCGATCCCCCCTMAGTTWYAGTCTGGTGTCAGGGACCCTCAGGAGCAGCTGAWKYTTTGCTGAAGATTTCGAAGAGAACAATCTTTTGAAAGAAAAGAAGAAATTCTGTTTTAATTGTGGATTTCTTTTTGTAAGAAATGTTTGGAAAGTATTAAAGTTACACAAACTAAGTCATAGAACCCATCTACTYATGAGTTGAACTTTTCGATGTAAGAGTGTGGCTCAAATATCACAAAATCTAAATTTCAAAATAAAGGAGAAAGACAACATTCAACACAAACATCGTGATCCGGTTAAAGAGCAGCAGATTCATGTGAGATAAATCTCACTGTGTGTGTGTGTGTGTGTGTGTGTGTGTGTGTGTGTGTGTGTGTGTGTGTGTGTGTGTGTGTGTGTGTGTGAACTGGAGTGCAGAGCTGAACACAGAGTAAATATTTGGCAGTGGAGGGCTCTTGGAGTCGCAGAGGGCCCACTCTGCCCGGAGCCTGCGGGTGTTAAATAGATTAAGGAGCTGCTGAGCTCTTTGTGGAAGGAGAAGTTCTTACTGTGTGGACATGACTTCTTTGCTGTTGCGTGTTTTGGCTCTCCACTGGAGTGTCCTCTGCAAACCGTCCACTTCAGCCGACCTGCGGGGATGAGAATCCACACAGGTTTCTGTCTAAAGGGTTTCCTTTAACCAAGAGTGGACAGAGCAACATAATTAATCAAKCAAACTTSATWTATAAAACACTTTTCATGTAAGTTTTTACATCAAATGTAAAAACAAAACAAATTGTGAAAGCAACAGATGAGCAAATACAAATAGAAGATTATTTAGAACAGCAAGAAGTTGGAAGAGGTCTAAAWATTTGTGGCTGAAACATGAAACAAGATGGAAATGATAAACTCTAATGAAAGGTTCAGTTAAAGGACTAACATTCCTGTAAAGGAACACATTTCACCCACTMCCTTACAGGCCAGAGTTTATTTTTATTTTAGATAAGAACTGGTGAAATTATGAAATTAGTTAGATGTCCCTCAGAGTGTTGTGAAMGACTCTCAGCTCATTTCAGCACAAAATCTGTCAAACTGGCTGATAGTCAGTGACTTGTGTAGAATAATTAATTAAATGATATTAAATTACATTTAATTAATCCTTGGGTACAGTCACTAAAGGCTTCTTAAAGGCACATACAATAAGCACTGAAATCTAAAATAAAAGATAAAATATTAAACTGGTGTTAATGAGTCCTGAATCACAGATACAATATGAGAGACGTGGAGCAGACAGGSTCCGGGTCCCACTGAGCTCCAGAGGAAAACCATGACAACCCAGAACCAGCTCCGATTTATCCCCCGAGCTAAAGGACTTTGTGTCGGGGCGTCAATCAGCCATTATGGCGGGACTGAACAAATGCAAAATCTTGACTGGAACAAATGCTTCCAACGCGGGGCTACATTTTGCCCCTTTGTTCCCCTCCTTTGCTTGGTGTGTAATTGTGTCCCCCCACCAGCAGCACCCTCCCTCCTCAGTCCTGGTCCGACCACCCAGGACGACTCGGGGAGGCCGGTCCTACCAGCACTCTGCTCGGCCTCACCTCACTGAGGAGGATGAGGGTCCAAATCCTGAGGAGGGGAAACACTCCTGCGCGCAACACGGGCTGGATGGATCCACCCAGCCCTGCTGCAACTGGAGCTGTCACT